TGCGCAAGTGCTCTGCGCCAGTTGCTCCGTGCGAGCGCTTTGCGCATGTGCTCTGTGCAAGTTGGTCTGTGCAAGTTGCTCTGCGCAAGTGCTGTGTGCAAGTGCTCTGTGCAATTCGCAGAGCGCAAGTTGCTCTGCGCAAGTGACTCTGTGCAAGTTGCTCTGCGCAAGTGCTGCTGGAGCTGTGGGAATGTACTTCGCGTACTATTTTTGTACTCAAAAGTTGCGATTGTCCAGCCGGAGCTGCGGGAATGTGCTCCGCGTACTACGCTGTACTTAAAAACAGCGATTTTCCAACCGGAGCTGCAGGAGCACGCTCCGCGTACTAGCAGGCGCGCAAACCACGAGACAACTTCCAAAGGCCGTTTCGCGAGCAAGAATATTGCACGGCGCCACAGCGAGAGCACTTCGACACGCGCAATCTCCGCAGAGGGTTCGCCGAGACTAAGACAAATTCGCACGGCGCCACAGCGAGAGCGCTTCGACGCGCACGATCTCCGCAGAGGGTCGCGCGCGCAGCGCAGAAATCGTAAAAAGTCCCCAGTTTTTGAACCTCGACCACGCGAATCTCCGCAGAGGGTCGCGCGCGCATGCTAAAAATCATGAAAAGTCCCCAGTTTTTGAACCTCGACCACGCGAATCTCCGCAGAGGGTCGCGCGCGCATGCTAAAAATCATGAAAAGTCCGCAGTTTTTGAACCTCGACCACGCGAATCTCCGCAGTCGCGCGGGCATGCTAAAAATCGTAAAAAGTCCACAGTTTTTTGACCTCGACCGCGCGAATCTCCGCAGAGGGTCGCAATCCCGAGCGACGATCAAACTCCCGCCCCGGCACCTTAGAAACCTAAACTAACTTACATAGCTGCTAACGCCGAAGCTCTAAGCTCTACCTAACCTTGGCTCTATGTAACTTGGCTCTATGTAACTTGGCTCTATGTAACTTGGCTCTATGTAACTTGGCTCTATGTAACTTGGCTCTATGTAACTTGGCTCTATGTCACTTGGCTCTATGTCACTTGGCTCTATGTCACTTGGCTCTATGTAACTTGGCTCTATGTAACTTGGCTCTATTGGCTAACTTGGCTCTATGTAACTTGGCTCTATGTAACTTGGCTCTATGTAACTTGGCTCTATGTAACTTGGCTCTATGTAACTTGGCTCTATGTAACTTGGCTCTATGTAACTTGGCTCTATGTAACTTGGCTCTTGGCTCTATGTAACTTGGCTCTATGTAACTTGGCTCTATGTAACTTGGCTCTATGTAACTTGGCTCTATGTAACTTGGCTCTATGTAACTTGGCTCTATGTAACTTGGCTCTATGTAACTTGGCTCTATGTAACTTGGCTCCAAGGGCTCCGCACGGAAGAACCCTTCGCGATGCTTTCGGGAAAAAAAGTCGTTTTTGGGCTCCGCATGGAGATGCTAGCGCAAAACGTACGCACATGGTCGGAGCATGGTTGGCGCATGGTCGGCGGACTGGGGCGGACGGCCTTACACCTGAAGGTAGCCCTAGTTGGCTGACCACGCACGGTTTGTTCAAAACTTGGTATCGCAACATGCCGCAGCTCCCATCTTCCTCTGCATTACCAATGATGATGATGATGATGATAAGGATGCTGAGATTGATCTCAGCCTCTAAGGTGATCTCAACGTGAGAACAGATGGGAGCTTGTGGATGGCCAGGAGTTATTTTTGCTTTGGTCCTTGACGCCGCGGGTTGCAACTTGCAGGCGTGGATCTTGACCCACCGTATGTATGCAATATATATATATATATATGCAATATATGTTTATGCATATTGCTGTATATATTTATATATACATATGGTTTGTCTGCTGTGGACTGCCAGAAATCTGGTGGCATTTCCCTTGGTGTCTGGGTTTAACAAGAACCAACGAACCCAAACCACAGGGTAGGCTGATTTGGCACAAAACAAATGGGCGCCCCAAAGCCTCCCAGTTTCCATACGCATCCAGCTTGCAAACAAAGAACGTTGCGCCGCTTCCATAAGGTCTTTCTTTTTAAGGCCCAGGGCATCCGTTTTTCAACGCGTCCGTTTTTTCAGTTGGGGGCATCCGTTTTCAGTTGGGGGCATCCGTTGTCCCTGGCAAGTAAAAGGCTTTTAAGCCACCCAAAACCCTAGGCTTTTTCAGTTGGGGGCATCCGTTTTTCAGTTGGGGGCATTTGTCTTCCAGTTGGGGTCATCCGTTAGTTGGGGGCATCCGTTTTCCCTGGCGAGTAAAAGGCTTTTAAGGCCGCCAACCCCCAGAGTTTTTTCAGTTGGGGGCATCCGTGTCTGCATCAGCAAAAGTTCTCCGGAAACATCCGTTCAGCAGGACCTTTTTAACTACCCATCAGCAAACAACACCAGCCAGGATGAATCTGACTGGTTTTTCGCCCGCCGTTTCACGGTCTTGCGCTGCAAACAAGGGCCGTTCACGCCCATTTCACGGTAGTTTTTTTTTTAAACCGGGGGCAGCCGTTTTTCAGGTTAAAAGGCGGCTCAGTCTAGTGAAGTTTCAGACCTCGGCTGAACGGTTTCAAGACCATGGCCTTGGCCAGGCTGGAAAGCGCAGGTCCAACCAAAGGCCCTGTTTGGTTGAAGCAGGCCACAGTGATGACATGGATAATAACGATCATAACAACTATCATCGCAGCATCCTCTGCGTTACCAATACTGCCTCACAAAAAATGATGAGTATGATGATAACATGATAAGATGATAGCAGTCATGATAACTATCATCGTAGCTTCCTCTGCATTACCAATGCTATGATGATGATGATGATGATGCTGGTGATGGTGATGATGATGATGATGATAATAAATAATGATGATCGTGAGGATGATGATAGGGATGATAACGGTGATGATAACGATCATCGTAGCATCCTCTGCACTACCCATGCTGCTTCATGAAGGATGGTGATGACCGTGAGGATAGCAATGCTAAGGATGAGAACGGTTGTGATAAGTATCATTGTAGCGTCCGCTGCATTACTAATGCTGCCTGACGGCACACTTGAAATGAATATAGAAAAGTGAAGGAAAGAGATGATGATGACCATGAAGATGATGAAGGGTGACGGTAACCACCAAGATGAAAATCAAAGTGATGATGATGACCATGAGGATGATGATGAGCATGATAACGGTCATGATAACAACCATCTGAGCATCCTGCATTACCAATGCTGCCTCACAAGAAATATTGATGATCGTGAGGATGATGATAAGGATGATGACGGTGATGACAGCTATCATCGTAGCATCCTCTGCATTACGAAAGCTGCTTCATGAAAGATGATGAGGACCGTGAGGATAACATGGCTAAGGGTGAGAACGGTCGTGATAACTATCGTCGTAGCACCCTCTCCAGTACCAACGCTGCCTAACGGCACACTTGAAATGTATATAGAATAGAGAAAAGTGAAGGAAGTAGATGATGCTGACCATCAAGATGATGAAGCGTGATGGTAACCACCATGTTGATCATCATGACTTTGATGATCAGCTGACAAGGGTGACAACGGTCGTGACAACTATCATCGCAGCATCCTCTGCATTACCAACACTGCCTCACAAGATGATGATGATCGTGAGGATGTTGATAGGATTACAACAGGCCTGAGAACTATCATCGTAGCGTCCTCTGCACTACCAATGCTATGATGATGATGCTGGTGATGGTGATGATGATGATGGATGATGATGGATGGTCATGAAGATGACGATGGGTAACGACGAAGAGGATGATGATACCACGAGGATGATGATAAGCATGATAACGGTCATGATAGCAACCATCTTAGCATCCTCAGCACTCGTAAGAAATAATGGTGATCGTGAGGATGATGATAAGGATGATAGCGGTGATGATAACTATTATCGTAGCTTCATGAAAGATGATGATGACCGTGAGGATAACAATGCTAAGGATGAGAACGGTCGTGATAACTATCATCGTAGCATCCTCTGCGTTACCAATGCTGCCTAACGGCACACTTGAAATGTATATAGAAAAGTAAAGGAAAGATATGATGATGACCATCAAGAAGCGCGATGGTAACCGCCATGATGATTATGAAAGTGATCATGATGACCGTGGCGATGATGACAAGGATGATGACGGTCATGACAACTATCATAATACTGTTTCACCAGAAATGATGATTCGATGGCCACCAAGATGACAAAAAGGATGAACAACCATCATGATGATGTTCACGGTGATGATGATGATGACCACGGGGATGGTGATGAGGATGATAACGGTCATGATAACTATCATTGTAGCATCCTCTGCGTTACCAATGCTGCCTCATAAGAGATCATGATGATCGTGAGGATGATGATCAGGATGATCACGGTGATGCATCATTCCTCTGCGTTACCGATGCTGCCTCATAAGAGATGATGATGACTGGCTCTGAGTAATCACCACGCAGTGAGACAACTCAGCTTTGGCAGCTTGGGGTGTTGACTATGATCATCGATCACAGATGTTAGTTGCCATGTACTTGGCTTGCGCACCGTGTCTACCACTGCGAGAATTTGTGCTGCCCGATTTCGATTGCAAAATCCCTAACAAAAATCAGGAGAATTTAAGCTGCCTGATTTCGATTGCAAAATCTCAACCAAAATCAGGAGAATTTCGGTTGCTGATTTCGATGGAAAAAAACAGCCAAAATGAGGATAATTTGAATTGCCTGATTTCGGGCTAACCAGATGATGACGGATCATGATGATGATGAAGATGATGATGGATCAAGATGAGGAGGAGGAGGATGAGATGACACCGTTCCCATGCGCCTCGCCCTTGAAGACACGGGGTCGGCGGATTTGACTGGCTTGAGTGGCGCGGCGACGTTGCCTGTTTAATTGACTTGACTGGTCTGACTGCTTCGACTGACTGGCGGCCCCGACTCTCTTGGGCTGCCCCTGGTTGGCTGTTTGGCTGGCAAGGCTTCAAGGCGCGCAAAGCAAGTGATGCCAATAAGGCGCTCTTCGTGGCCTTCATTTTGGTCTTCACCGTGAGTATTTGGAACATCGTCACCAGCGTCTTCGTGGAAAAGGCTCTGAAACTGGCCACGCCGGATCTGGATGCCCTGGTCCTGGAGTCTCTTGGCTAGGGAACCTGCGATTCACTGGTTGGATGTCTTGTTCCAATTCCGTCCTTTCCTTTCTCCATGTCCGTCCTTGTAGATGGGCAGCCGGCAGGCAGAACTACCAGGAGAAGAAGCTTTGTGAGGAACTCATCACTTTCTTTTCCTCGCGCTCTGAAGATGACTGCATCAGCCCCAAGGCATGTGACATTCCATGTCAAGCCTGGATGACAAGCTTGAGCATATCAGGCTTTTCGAAGTATGGCGGAAGATGCCTCCTTCCGCGGCTATTTGCGCCCCAGCTTGAGCTAGCTCGAAGCAAAGGGTCGGCCAGCGCCGCAGTGCCTTGGGTGCAGATTCAGATGTTCGATCGCTCTGAGGACAGCCAATGGAATCGACATCAAAAACATTCAGATCTTTTTCAGCATGCTGGCTTCAGCAATGGAAGATGGCGAGGAGCCTGGCTCTTTAGAACTGTGGAAAAACACTGGATGGCTAGCTGGTTCGGCAGGCTTGTTGACTTCGACAGTCTTTGTTCGCAGGATGTTGACATTCATCTCCTGGCGAACGCCTGTGTCCGAATGCGGGGCTTTGTCCGGCACTTGCTACAGATGCTTGCCTTGGACACCGATTCGCTGCAGGCAACCAGCATCGACCTTCAGTCTCTGAGTTTTGAGACCAAGAAGCTGGGCTGACAGTTACAGAGAAGCGGCAGACCTGGACGCTGCATAGATCCTCTTAACCAAGGATCATGCACCGAAAGCAGGTGGACATGGTCAAGGTGTGACTTGGCACATGGCTACGAGAGAGGCAAAAGTAGTTCACGGTTCAATATTCGAGCATTTCAAGCAACTTAAGCGCCCTTTGAGACTTGTGTGCTGAGGCTTGCAAAGCACTTGAAGCGAGTGGAGGGTATGCTGAAGCAGATTCCAAGCAGCACTTGTGGCTCACATCGGCTGGCCTGTGCTTGCCGCGTGATTTGTTGGGCACAAGGATGATGCTCGAACCAGAAAGAGGCCTAGGGCCGCCACTTGGCTGTTGAGTCGTATGGTGTACTTCATGCAGCGTGAGGAAGTGCTAAGGTTGGACGTCTGATGGTGATGCAACTGCAGCTGGCAGCCAGCGCGCCAGTGCTTTGGGCGGCGAGGATATTCTAGTCTCACTTCATAGCTCACTGCCAAGCAGTGCAAGCTTTGGCGTGTGGAAGTAAAAAACGCGTGCTGGTTCAGTCAGAGGGCACGCCATTCAGAGAATTCAGACCCTTCAGCCGGCGCAGTTGGCATTCTTTGCACAGCTTGGGCCATTTGTCAAGAGAGCGGAGCCCCAGCGGAAGGGCCAGCCGCGAACACCAAGATGCCGGTGGCGGAGTGGCTCTACGCCGCGCACAGCAGCCTCGAGCTGTTGGCGGGGTCCCTGTTGTTTGTGCGGGGCCGCGGGTCGATGGACGCGAATGAGCAGGACCCCCAGCAGCGCCTGTACCGGCGCTGGCACGGAGCGGGGCTTCTGGGCCTCAGCGCCTTGGGCTGGCTGTCGCTGCAGAAGGGCCTCACTACCACCGCCTCCAAGGCACTGGCCGTGTTCCACGGAGCCGCTGTGGCGGTACATTTCCTGGCAGCCGGGGAGTGTGCTTCAAAGGGCTCGGATGTGGTGTCTCTGAAGGCTGCCTCGCTCTCCCCGCACATCCCCCTGTTTGTTGGCTTCGTGATGCATGCCGCAGGCAAGCTTTGACACTTGCAGCGGACGCTCTCGGCATGCCAAGTTCCCTCGGTTCGCCTGAAAAGGCGGCTGCGCATGTCCGCTCTGCACAATGAGCTTCGTGCTGACTGGAAGATTGCTCGCATTGGCTCAGGCGGTCATTTGCGCCCATATCAGTTCACATCGCAGTCTAACTGAAGCCAATTAACATCAATTAACTAATCATCAACCTATTTCCACCTTGCGCTAAGAGTGTCCAATTCTCCAGTCACTGGGCCCGGTCCTCAGTTTCCCGTCGCGTTGCGGAGGCCGTGCCTCCCTCTCAGGTGCCATGGCTTCTCCTAAGGACTGGGATTGAGGGCAAGTGAGGGCAAGTGAGGGCAAGTATGCTGGTCCAATCTGGTCCACATATTCCACATTGGCGCTGTCGGATGCTGTCAATGCAATCTGCTTTTGGGCAGGATGGGCACAGCATCACAGGCTCAGAGAGACATTGCATTTATCCTCGAAGGCATTCCATGTTAACTTGCAGCTGGGCAACAGCCCTTGCCTCTCTCAGGAATCGCTCCTCTTCTGCCATGGCACAGAAAACTGAAACGATTCCAGATCCGCTTTCAGTCTTACGCAAGCGCGGCTATGACGTGTTCTTTCTATCAAGAGCCAGTGAAGGTATTGCTAGTAGGGCCTGACAGATAGTTGGGCACAGAATGAAGCCTAGGCAAAGGTCCAGAAAGGTCGCAAGCCGCTTCTTGGGAGGCTATCCTCGCGCAGATGTCGATTTTGAGGCCGGCCAACTTTTGTGAAGCGCACGGGTCCAACTCCATGGCCGGCCAGGACCGGCTGGCTCCGAGGCTGAGCGCAGCTCCCAGCCAGTGGGCCTTTGGACGGCTGAAAGTTGTCTAATGACTTCAGGTGCTCAATTTTCTTCGGAGGAGGCTGGCCAGATTTAATGTGAGTGCACGAACGAGGGGTTTGGGGAGGTCCAGCGGAGTCGCTCCTTGCTGTCGCCCAAGGTTGGACAAAGCCCGTCTTCGTAGACTGCACCAAGCGCGTTTGTTTGCTGCCAGGCGGTGTCCGAGAACATGTCCAGCAGGTGCCGTGCCCGATGCCGCATGACACGACATGCCAAGACCAAGGCTCAAAGAGTTGTGCATGAAAGCTGAGTTAGTCACTAGCATGACGAGCTTCACGAAGCAGGTCAAGTCTTGGATTGACACATGGGGAGCAGTTCGATAAACATGTCAAGCGATTGCCAGCATAGTGGGTGCTGCTCAGACAAGATGATGCTTCTATCAAATTCGGATGTAATAGGTGAGATTAGGTGAGCGAAGAGCAAAAGAGATTCAATCAGCCAAGAGAGTGCAAGAAGTTTGAAGCTTAGCGATGATCAGCCTAGAGCCGGGGGAGGTGCCATGCTACATGCTGCTGGAAGGGGTGCAGGTGCCGCGGGTCATCGGCAAGGCCGGCGCCATCATCAAGGAGCTGCGGCAGGAGAGCGGCGCAGCCGTGAACATCTTGGACAAGCAGCTGCCCGAGGCGACGCGCTAGACATGAGAATGCGTATCACTTCAACTTCAGTAACTTCAGAAACTTCAGTAACTTCGCTTTAGTAAACTTTAGCTTCATGTCAGAGAGATGTCAGGCGCTGCAGCGGCTTCAGCTCCACGTTGCCGTGGTGAAGTCGAGTTCCGCTTCGGGCTCCTCGAGCTCGGGATCGGGATCGGGATCGGGTTCCGCGCGGGCGGTGCAGGGCCTGGTGCGGAACGCCCGGGGCCCGCAGGCGTTGCTGGAGAGTGACAGCGCCGACGTGGCCTTCCTGCTGCCGGCCAAGTGCGAGCCCTACCTCGGCGAGGCACGAGCTCAAAGACCAGAAAGGGGGACAGTCGCATGTGGCGCATGTGGCGCATGTGGCGCATGTGTGTGTGTGTGTGTTGCAGGAGGAGCTGGTGAAGGACACCAAGTGCTCCCTGCGGGTGGAGATCATTGATGGTTTGAGAAAGCATCGCAAGGCACAGAACCCAGCGGGCTTTGTGTTGGCAGTGGCCGCCCACCACATCCACGTTGCAACATTGTACGTCTCAGGTGACGCTCCGGGCAGAGGACACGCACGACATGCAGATTGTGGCGTGGCGCCTGCAGGACCCCACGGGTACGTGGTAGGACCACATCCATGGATGAACAATGAATGAGCGTAGCTGACCCCGACAAGAAGCATCCCCTATGGTTCCCTTTTTGCTGAGTTCCCTTAGAACAACCGGTTCAGTATTCTGTTAGACCTGGACTCAGTGACATCTCGATTGCGCAGCGATCGCACGGAGGAGCTGCAAATCCGGATGACTTTGGGGACCATCCTCACAGATCGCGACTTTGAGTTGCAGGACTCAGCCTGGGAGGAGGTCATGGAGGCGGAGTCCGATTTGAGACGTCTCTTTGTTCTGATTCCTCCGGTCTTGATTTGATACAGACGTCTCTTTTATCGGTGTGCTCCTGCTTGATGGTGTTAGATTTTAAACGTTCGCTCAAGTTGATTCCTTTTATTCCAATCTTGATTTCGGCCCCGCCAGGCCTTCCGGGTCAAGCGACCTCAGGCCAGAGTCGGAAGTCAAAAGAGCGAAGGGCACAGCCAGCTTTCCGTCCTGATCTCCGAAATAAAACCGGCACCATGCTCGCCAAACGGCAGGCATAGCCTCGTCCTTCAGGGGATTAAGATCTGAGCCAATGTGCAAAGCACAAGAATTGCAAAGTGTACTCCATGCACATGCTTGCTGGGTATAAAGTCTTGCCGTGGAGCTGGTTAGAAGTTACCAGTTTGGCAAACAGTGACAAGCAACCGCCAACCACCAATCACGGCCACTTCAGCTACTCATCAACCTTTGCGTTGCCCTGCGGCGTTGCCATGCGTTGCCAGTGTTTCACTGCGGCAGGGTCACCTTGGTCACCTGGACTCTGAAGCTGGCCAGCCAGTGCCGTTTGACAGGCCGGAAGTCGAGAGAAGTCGAATCCGTCTAGAGAAGTCGAGAGAAGTCGAAGGCTGCCGGCTCTATCGACAAACGCCTCGGAGGTCGAGGGTGAGGCTCGCGTGGCGACTTGGATGCTCGCCCCCCTCCCGGCAATCCCTCCCTCCCGCGAGGCCCGCAAAGCTCGGGAGGCCCAGCAGCGTGACCTGGAGGTGAGACTCTGTGAAAGGAAGCAGAGGAAGGATAGGAAGCCCAAAATCTCAGATTTCGCCAGGCGCAAAAGGAGAAAGACAGAAAGAAGCAGCTGCGAGCCTCGGCCTCAGTGGGCTCAGAAGTTTGGGGCCGTGCTTGTACTCAAAGTCTCATTTGTTCACGCAAAAGATTCGCGCGGCAGGAAGCAGCGGCGCGAGAGCAGCAGGCCATGATACGGTTGGGCGAAGCCTTTTGGTTTTCAGATGCTGTGTCCAATGTCCCAGCAGGAGTGCCAAAGCGCAGCTAGGGAGGCCAAGATGCTCTCCGACAAGGTGCCACCTTTTCAAACCACGCAATTGGGGTAACGGTGCTACCTGAGGCCAGGGAGATACGTTTGCAGGCAGCTGAGGCGAGCTCGTGAACCCGAAAACCTGAATCTGATAGCCGGGACCTTCAGGCCACCGCTGATCAGCAGCGTCGGCACTTGCAGGAGGCTCGGTGCTCGGCGCGGCTGGGACCTGTCGGCTCGCGCCCGTCCGCGCCCGTCAGGCCGAGCGATACGAGGAGCAAGCACGCCAGGCGCGAGCTCGCTCCACACGGGGCTATGGCTCTGGTCCACGCGCACAGCAGCACGAGTACCAAGAGGCGAGGTTGGAGACGAAGTCAGCCTCAGGCTTCCGGGCTTCCGGGTCTCGTAACGACTCGTAATGTTCCTTCCTGTCGAAGTGCATTCATTGCAGAAGTCGTGAAGTACATTGGACTGGGTTTGCGCCAGGGCACTGGACTGGAAGTTCGAGACGTGCAGAGGGAAGTGCCAGCGCTAGACCCGCAGACGGAAGAGAGGGAGCGGCTGATGCGGCAGCGGGAGCTACGGGATCAGCAAGCACGGGAGCACCAGGCTCGGGAGCGTGCGGCCTTGCAGCAAGCGGGGATCTCCCTGTCTGACCCGCGGGGGATCCACGCGCTGCCTCGAATGGACGAGCCCCGGGAGCCGTGGGAGCCCCGCGAGCCAGGAGATGCCCAGGAGAGGGCAGTGAGGCAGGCCCGGAGCGAGGCGCTGGCCCGGAGCCAGAGAGCTCCAACGGAGAGAGACGGAATGCTGGGCCAAATCCGCGTGTCGGAAACTGGAGAAGTCTCTCTTTTCGTGCGCCCGGGATGCACTGAGGGCTGTTGCGCTGTTGGGCTGTTGGACTGGGCCAGATAGAGTTTCTTTGTTTTCGGGGACTCAGGAAGGCTCCCAGCCTGCAGGCTGCCGAATATTTGGCCAGCAGCCAGCTTGGAATTGGCAGGCGGACTGGCACAAAGTTGTCGGTGGAGACGCCACTTGGAGAAATAGCTACATTGTTCTATGCGAGAGGATGGGGGAGCTTTGGTGGGGACGTGTGAGAGTGCCAAGGTCGGGTTTACCTTTGCTGGAGATTTGGGGAACTCCTGTGGCCAATGCTGTGGCGCCGCTCTCCACGCAGGGACAGGGAGGGACCGTTTGGACATGGTTGACAGTTGTTTGCCAAGTTCGCATCAGACTGTGGCTCGCGCGTATGTTACGTGGCTTTTGTGCCGCCGTCAAAACACCTTCTTGCTTCATCTTGCTTGGAGCTAGATTTGATTGTTGCCATTTGGTAGGGATCTTAGACAGCTATTGATTCCATTGATTGCATGGCTTTCTATTGAGGGAGCCATGGTCATGCCCAACAATAGGATGGCAGCTGAGGAGCTACCTCGCACAGGAGGCGCTTTGGATGTCTGGCTGCTTCGAGCAGTGAAAGCTTGTGAGTCGCGAGACGGAAAACAGAGCGAGCTCCTGCCATTTGCTCTGTATGTGTTCAACGAGTGCAATGTGGCAAGTTGCTTGCCGTCTCGCAAGGCGAGCCCGAGATGACAACTCAGTCAGCAGCTCAAGGGCCACACGTGCGGCACACGTGCACGCACTTCGCTTCTGGGCGTTTGCTTGCGTCGCTCGGCTCGTGAGATACGGCGGGAGATGGAGCTGCTGGAGGAGAAGCTCATGCGTCAGGTCCTGCGGCTCCAGGCGTGGCACTGGCGCTGTCGATCTCGCTTTTTACGCTGTTCCTTTTTGGGCGCAGGAGCAGAGTGAGCGATTCATGGACATCATGATGCACCCCTTGGAGGCGAAGGCGTGACAGAGAGAGATATCTCAGGATAGGCGCTGACTCGGTTCAATTGAGGTGGCAGCGCTGGAGGGCCGGCAGCCAATGCTGGACTGCAGCATTGCTGAGTGCGGCACTCCGCATCCGTCTGAGATTGGCGCACAACCGCACAGCACGGCAGGCTGCGAGGGAACCTCAAGGGGCTGCAGGACTCCATGGAAATGCAGGCGCAACGCGGCGCAACGCGGCGCAACGCGGCGCAACCGCTGAATTTGAGCCTGAGCCACATGTCGCAAGGTGCGGCGTGCTGACCAGTCAGAGGCGCGTCTCAGCAGATGGCGCAAGAGCCTGGAGGAGCTATGGACCAGCTCATCGGCAGTACTTTTAGTTCAGGGCCCTTGAACAGGGGGGTATTGGGGTATTGGAGGGTATTGGAGGGTATTGGCAATATTGGGGTGTGGGTCGTAGGACGATGTGGTCAAGCTGGGCGAGAGGGGAGAGGCACGTCAGAGTCATCGCTCGTAGGTCCTTTCTGGACTTGGCAGGTGCCCTCTGATGTTGTGAGCCGTTCTGAGATGGTAGAGCTGGCAAAAGTGCTCAAGAAGGACCGTGTTTTCCTCCTACGAAAAGTAAACGGAGAACCCCACATGCCTAGCGATTGAAGAGTGAGTATAATTTGAGTGAGTGAGAGTAAGCATGGAAGAGCGAGAGTGAGTACTGCAAGGTTCGCGCCAAGCGGTGCACTGCGCAGAACAGAGCTGTGACATGGCAGATGCAAAGCGGCGCCCGACAGCCAGCAGCCGCGAAGGCAGCCCGATCTCAAGAGGCGCGCAAAGCACGAGACGACTTCCGCAGGTCAGGCCGTCAGGGATGCTAAAATTGTGCACGGCGTGGCAGCGAGAGCTTCGACACGCCGATCCTTGTGGTCACGGGTGAATTCGTTCGGCGCTTCGCGCCATTGGCGAGCTGTGCAGCGAGGGCTGTGGTATCTTGAAACGCGCGGTAAAGCAAAGCCATGAGATGTGCTGCGCTTTGTGGAGTGCTGTGCAGCAGAGCTAGCAGCTAGCCTTTTTGAGATAGAACCCTTCGCTGCGCTTTCGGGAACTAAGAAACAGCAGCAATATTCCCGCGGCACACAGTGAAAGCATGGGATCGTGCCGGCAGGAGCTGAAGAAGCTGGTTGACGAAGCATTACAGGATGACTCGTCCTTGCGTCAGGACTGACAGACGTTGAGAGGGGAATGCACCATTGTTTTCCTCACTTGTTTGGATGTGCAGGATCCTAAGTTCTGTTCCCCTGACCATCCTTTAGAGATCTTTTGCTGCATCTCCCAAGATCACAGTGTACAGTAAATGAGGTAAATCGAGAAGTGCTAAAGATCGCAACATGACGAACGAGCACAGACACCAAACAAACGCGAGCGCTGAAAGAGAGGGAAGAGCGAGCGAGAGAGAGCGAAAGATAAAACAAAGTTTGAAGCGCGATTGAGGCACGAACAGGCGAGCGTGCGCGAGTATTGCACCAGGGATATTCTGCTGGACCCTGTTTACACGAATTGCTGTCAGCTATTACTCAAAACAGTTCGGGATAGCTCCAAATGTCATATCACAGCAAGAGTACAGCAAGCTGTGCTAGACTGATATTGATTGTGTGTATCAGTCATTGACTGGGCTCACTTTGCCTGGGTGTTCCCAGCGACTGCACGCGTCACTTGTTCTTCAGCACCTTGAACAAAGAGACATACGAGCGATGTTGGCCCCTTCTGCCACTCACATGTTTTTGGCGGTGGCCCCTAAAGAGCGTAAAGAGGGCGGGTAAAGGGCGAGTAATTGCCAGTCCACCCTGGTGTTTGAATGATCCGCTTTTTGGAGCTTGGCTTCTGTGCGCATGCCACTCAAAGCTTTGCCGCATTGATGTCGTCGGCCGGGAGATGTGGGACACGTGGCATACGGTGCAATGAAACACAAGCCCACATTCGCGTCAAGCAAGGTCGCTGGAAAAGTCCACTTACCTTGTGCCTGTTTGTTACAAACTGCTTTGACGATGGAATTTGTGAAAGCAAAGTCGACTTTCGGACGTTCCTGCATGTCTCCTTGAGCCGCAGACATGTCAATGTGCAGGAGCTCGCTGCTTTGAGAAAGGAGCGGCGGCTGTCGCCTTTCTGCAGTTGGCTGTCGCCCTCTCCGTTTGCTTGATTTGAACAGCTCTGAGAGTCTAAGAGGAGCTGGTCAGTGTGGAAAAGGTCGCTGCTTGGATCTTGGAGAGCGAAGCGTCGCGTCGAAGCGTTCCAGATCAAAGTGGCGAGGCTGACGCTGCCGCGCAGAAGTTGAGGGGCCATCAGGCTGGCCGTTCCCACGGACCCCTCAAGTTGGATCTGGCATTTGCATCTGCTTTGCGCTAATTTGATCCGACGCATCACAGTCATAGCTTGCGTTCAGGAGCTTACAAGCGCGGCGGAATCCATTCGTTTGACCCTCAATGCGGGCAAGGGCATGAGAACTTGCAGGTGTGCTCAGTGTGCGTGTGCAGTGTGTCTGCAGGCGAAGAGATGCAGTCCTTGTCGCAGAAGGCTCGATTCATACCGATCTCTGAGCTTTCGAGCCTTCGCCAGCTTTTAGTTTTGAGGCCATCCAGGAAGAAGCCCTTTCCAAAGCTTCCATGGGGGCCGTGCAGGACTTGGAGAAGGCTCGTGCAAGTCTGCAAATGCAACGCATGCAACCCGTTTACAAGTGCGAGGGCCACAATCCATCGGGTCTGCCTGTCTGCCAGCCTCGGCCCAAAAACAGCTGGAACCTCAAGTGGCTTGTGGGGCCTTTCAGGAGGATCACTCGACCTGAGTTCGATACCTGAACCTTTCGTATCCAATGATCCGAAGATGGATCTCGATGTTGGCCCTGTGTCATGGCATTCATGGCCGGGAGATTGCGATTTTGCCGGATGCGAAGCTGGTGGGGGAAGATCTGGCCAGTGGGGCCAGTGGGGCCAGTGGGGCCAGTGGGGCCAGTGGAGTGGCCTTTGGCATGCGCGGGGCCAGTGGGGCCATCACCAACTCTGCTGATCCCATGGTGCCCGAGACGATCGAAGATGTGGAAGCCCGGTGGCTGGGAACCGCACTCTCGCAGGTGGGCTGGTTCTTGTCCGAGCCGCCTCTGGCCTTGGGACAGAAGGCCACCTCGTGGGCTTTGAACGCAGAGAAGCCCCACGCTCAGACGCAGCACCAGAGTTTGGCCTTGTCCGTGCTGTCGCTTCTGGGAGTATCCCTGCACGAGCACAAGCACCGCGCGCACGCGGGCGCCGCTGGAATTGGTGTTGTGATCCCAGAACACAAGCACACCATGTTCGGCGGCATCCCCTGGCTGCTGATTTTGCCAGTAGTGCTGGGCGTCGGCCTGGCAACCTTCATTCAGGTGGTCAGCTTGTACTACGAGTGGCTCGATACCAAGGACAAGATGGCCCGCGGTGAGCCCTTGGAACCTGATGCGGGCTATTGATGCCTCGAATTCAACAGATCGAGGCGCTGCATGAAAAGAGCGGCGGCAACAGCCAAGCGTTCCGCATTTCCTGTATCCAGCATGTTTGGGGAGTTTGGGTCACGTCGACTGGACTGCCAGGCGAGTGAGGCTTCAAGGAAGTCGATAGAAGCCCTATCACAGCGGCTGGCCAAGTGCGAGCAGAGTCAGGACCGAGCCAAACAGCACAGGCCCTGATATAAGCAAGAGGCATCATTTGGCCTGAAATCAAGCAAGACGCGAAACACCATTGCCAAAGGATCTGATTGATGCGTTCAGACAGCGGTCATAGCTGTCACAGCCGACGTAGATCGCTTGCCGGGAGCAACAAAGCTTTCATACCCAGGCTCTTTTTACGATTGAACCTGTCGGCACATGTCTCCCCATGCAGCTCTTGCCGTGACTTCCCCAGGAGCTTCGACAGCCGGAGGCCGGATCACTGAACGACTTGGTTCGCCCCCATTGGACGACTTGCAGGGTCCCAGCCAGCTGACCCAGAGATTAGCAAAGTGCGAGAAGTTTGATGAGGACTGTCCGCAGCGCATCTGTGTGGATTTGGCGCGTGCGCCCTCCGTGCATTTGGAGAAACGTTGTTTTCAAGGAGTTCCATCAAGCACTGAAAGAGCAAAGCCGTCGATTGCGCAAGTTGGAGGAGACAAGATAAGAGTTGGCGGCAAAGCGGTTGCTCATTTGGTGGTTCTGTGATAAGTTTGGGGCAGCCGTGCACCTTGGTTTGGCTGTCGGTGCGGTGCGCCTGCGTACAATTACAATTTATGTCCCGCATGCCAACCACCAGGCACAAGAAGCCGAGCGCCTTCGTGGCCAGACTCGAGCACACACGGACGGCAAGACGCTATATCCGACCAAGCCCAAGCTGAAGCCAACGGCTTCCTGGTGAGTAGCTTGATACTGGTGACGCTGGGCGCGTGTTGCCGACGTTGCCAGGGGTCGCGCACGCGCCCAAAGCAGGCTTCTCCAATTCCAAGCAGCCTCGCGGGCCCCGCTGAGTCCGTGTGCGCGCCCACCCCTCAAAATAAATGCAATTCTGTCATTCTACGATTGCACAGATCTCGGTCAGATTAGCAGCAACTCCGATGGAGCTTTGAGCTTGAGTTGAGGCCTTTGGCTTTGCTAGGCAGGTTGGGACCATGTAGGCAGCATGCATGCAGTCCGGAGGATCTTCAAAGCGAGCTGCACGACAGCCGCAGAGCTCTTGCACCGATTGAGGCGGGCAGAGCAAGAGTAGGCGAGAAGCTGCGACAAGCAGCAAGCATCACCAATTTGCTCATAAAGCCATACATGAAAACAACGTGTAAATATTGACCACGCAGGATAGAAGCGAGCAACAAAGCAACTTGCACATGCAATGGTGCTAGCAGCCTGCTTGTTTGCTTCTTGAGGCCAGTGAGGCCTCGCATATTGCGCTCGTAGATCTATCTGAGCGCCTTGCAAAGTGCGAACAGTCCAATCAGGTGGGACATGTTGCGAGTGACCGGAGTGACCGGAGACTGTCCATGGCTGCGAAGAGCCGTCCGATGCTCGACGCATTCGGTGCAGGAGTTGCAGCATCAGCTGAGTGGACACGGCGAGCAGCTGGAGTCGCAGGCAGCATGTGGGATGGCAAACGAAGCCTCTTGGAGGGGCTTTGATGGCAAAGCGTGGCAAGTTGAAGGCCGGCACTTCCAACAAGTTGGAAGAACTGTCCACGCACCTTGCACGGTGTGAGCGACGCATCGAGGACATGCAATGCAGACACACTGCAAAGAGTTCAAACAGCAATGCAGAATGCAGAGAGCTCTCAGGAGTTGCGGGAGCTGCAGGAGGGTGAGACGCAGCCAAGTGAGGCCGGTTCCAACGCATCCATTTGTTGCACGTCGAGCGCAGTGGGGCGCTGTGGGGCGCTGTGGGGCGCTGTGGGGCGCTGTGGGGCGCTGTGGGGCACTGTTGGGACTCGGGCTTGGTATGCTGAAGGCTGCCACGTTGGCCACTTGCAGGCAATAGATGACTTGTCTCAGCGCCTGGCACAATGTGAGCAGATGGGCAAGGACCGGCACTTCATGCTTCAAGACAAGTGGGCCCAAGTCCTGTTGCCATCGCATGGAGGTTTGAGCTTGAGTTGAGGGTCTTTGGCTTTGTTAGGCAGGTTGGGACCATGTAGGCAGCATGCATGCAGTCCGGAGGATCTTCAAAGCGAGCTGCACGACAGCCGCAGAGCTCTTGCACCGATTGAGGCGGGCAGAGCAAGAGTAGGCGAGAAGCTCCGACAAGCAGCAAGCATCACCAATTTGCTCATAAAGCCATACATGAAAACAACATGTCAGTATTGACCATGCAGGATAGAAGCGAGCAACAAAGCAACTTGCACATGCAATGGTGCTAGCAGCCTGCTTGTTTGCTTCTTGAGGCCAGTGAGGCCTCGCATATTGCGCTCGTAGATCTATCTGAGCGCCTTGCAAAGTGCGAACAGTCCAATCAGGTGGGACATGTTGCGAGTGACCGGAGTGACCGGAGACTGTCCATGGCTGCGAAGAGCCGTCCGATGCTCGACGCATTCGGTGCAGGAGTTGCAGCATCAGCTGAGTGGACACGGCGAGCAGCTGGAGTCGCAGGCAGCATGTGGGATGGCAAACGAAGCCTCTTGGAGGGGCTTTGATGGCAAAGCGTGGCAAGTTGAAGGCCGGCACTTCCAACAAGTTGGAAGAACTGTCCACGCACCTTGCACGGTGTGAGCGACGCATCGAGGACATGCAATGCAGACACACTGCAAAGAGTTCAAACAGCAATGCAGAATGCAGAGAGCTCTCAGGAGTTGCGGGAGCTGCAGGAGGGTGAGACGCAGCCAAGTGAGGCCGGTTCCAACGCATCCATTTGTTGCACGTCGAGCGCAGTGGGGCGCTGTGGGGCGCTGTGGGGCGCTGTGGGGCGCTGTGGGGCGCTGTGGGGCGCTGTTGGGACTCGGGCTTGGTATGCTGAAGGCTGCCACGTTGGCCACTTGCAGGCAATAGATGACTTGTCTCAGCGCCTGGCACAATGTGAGCAGATGGGCAAGGACCGGCACTTCATGCTTCAAGACAAGTGGGCCCAAGTCCTGTTGCCATCGCATGGAGGTTTGAGCTTGAGTTGAGGCCTTTGGCTTTGCTAGGCAGGTTGGGACCATGTAGGCAGCATGCATGCAGTCCGGAGGATCTTCAAAGCGAGCTGCACGACAGCCGCAGAGCTCTTGCACCGATTGAGGCGGGCAGAGCAAGAGTAGGCGAGAAGCTGCGACAAGCAGCAAGCATCACCGATTTGCTCATAAAGCCATACATGAAAACAACGTGTAAATATTGACCACGCAGGAAGGAAGCGAGCAACAAAGCAACTTGCACATGCAATGGTGCTAGCAGCCTGCTTGTTTGCTTCTTGAGGCCAGTGAGGCCTCGCATATTGCGCTCGAAGATCTATCTGAGCGCCTTGCAAAGTGCGAACAGTCCAATCAGGTGGGACATGTTGCGAGTGACCGGAGTGACCGGAGACTGTCCATGGCTGCGAAGAGCCGTCCGATGCTCGACGCATTCGGTGCAGGAGTTGCAGCATCAGCTGAGTGGACACGGCGAGCAGCTGGAGTCGCAGGCTGGAGTCCAGCTGCTTGTCTCCCAACGTGTTAACAATTGCAGTTTTTGTGAGTTTTTCCATCTGGCTTAGCGTTTCAGGTACCTGGAGATGATTTGGAGGAGGGGGAGGTCAGACGTGTCACATAGATTTGCACAGAGTTTGCGGAATCAGATGCTCAGGTTTACCTTTCGGACGGTCAACTCATGTTGCTGGACCTTCAGCGCAGGGCCATGCTGGCAACTTGCTTCCTTGCGTGCGATTCGCTTCACGCGCTTTCTCACATGCCAGGTTTCCTTGCTGGAGCTGTCAGGCTGGGGCTCAAAGAACGCCTCCCCCTCAACTTGCGGGAAATTCGAGCCGCCAAAAGCTGGTCTGCGCAGGTAGGCCGCGAGTGCGAACCAGCGCCTTACCTACAGACTGTTCAAGATTGGTCGCACATGGCAAATGCGTTTTCGGAAAGAAGAATAATCGAGCGCATGGTTAGAAACCGCGTAGTACCGATCGAAAAGTGCGACACGGACTTCTCAGTGCAAGAGCTCAGAAACCCGATCCCCTGCAACCCGATTGAACAAACAAAGTGCAGAGGTTAGATGTACGAGCGACAGCCAAAGAGTACGGCTAGGCTTGAAATTAGGCCGGGTAAGAGAAAGTTTAGGATTCTATGCCAAGAGGCTGTTGGCCCGACCGAGAAAGTCGCCGCCACTGCATTGCCTTAAGCACTGCCCCAATCAACCATCCTCAAAGAATCCCAAGAGCATATTTTGTAAACTCCACAGGCCGCATGTTCGCTCTTCAAGTCGGACGCTTTCAGCAAAAACGGAGCCGCAAGCACGGAAAACAGGCGGAATCACCAAGCTGGAACAAGTTGCCAAAGCTTTGTTTCGGCCACGTTGCAAGCTTTCAGCCCTTGACCAGCTTGACAGGCGCTGAAGAGCAGGCAAGGAACAGACGCTCCATGGGCGCATGCGCCAAAACCCAAAACCCAAAACTGAGGCCCCGAAGCCGGTGCTCAGCCAAGCCGCCGAGTTGGCCTACGCCCTACCTGCGAAGTGCGCAGCTCTGAAGCGTCTGAAGCTCCGAAGCCGAGATCCAAAGCATCGAGCTTGACTTGCATCGCGCTCGACAAGCCGTAGGCAGAAACATGGCAGAAACATGGCAAATGATGGCAAATGGCAGAAATGCTTTCTGCGCGAAAAGAATGATGATGCCAATGATGCTTTCACCAGGTGATGGCTCTGGCGAGCTGCTTGTCTTGAGTTGGCTTCAGTTGAGCTTTGGAGCTTCTTGGAGGTGTGAGTTTGGTCTGATTGGTCTGATTGCAGCTCTTTCAGCGCCAAGTTGGCAAGTGGCCGCCGTGCCCATGAAGGCACTGAAGCAGACGCTTCAGCGCCACAGTGTGACCAGACAATGGGTAGGACTCGACCCCGATGCACTGCCTGAGGATGAGAAGGATTTGAGGAAGGAGGTTGAATGGCAGCAGGCTGTGACGGACGCATTGTTGTCCTACGGCCAAGGAGTAGAGACTGCTTTGTACAGCATGCTGCAAGCTCACCAAGCACTGGTGGACTTGGGGCTGGAGTCTCTTTGCCCAGAATCCGCTTCCATCCTGCAGGCGTTGCGAAAATTGCTTTCGCGCACGCGGCAAGGCATCGAGTCTGCGAAGTCTCCTTTGCAGGTTCACGATTCGGCACTGGCCACATGCTCGGAAAGCGTCAAGAAGGTGGACGAGGCGAGGTCTGTGCGGAAGCACTACCAGGACAAGGTTCAGCAACTCGAGGAGGAGTTGACTCGGAAGCCAGCGCCCTCGACGCAGGCCCGACTTGAACGAAACCGAGAGAAGTTGCTACATGCCACGAAGGCAGCTGACACCGATACAGAGAGGACCAGAGAGCTGTTGCGCGGCTGCGCGTCACGACGCCTGAAGCTCCAAGAAGTCACCAGGACAATCATGTCCTCGGTGTCTGACGCCCTGAGATCTGCGGCCCTGGTCACCTCTCCCAGCCCTCCGACTGCTTTGACGGTGCCAATCCCAGGCTACTCCTCATCCGCTCCGTCAGTGTCCTCAGTGTCGGCGCCTCCCTCTGGATCTGGGTCCCCCAACCGGTTCAACCCCTTCACGGAGGACCTGCAAAAAAATCCCTTCGCAGAGGACCTGGACGATCGCAGTCCAGGGCCGGAAGGGCCGGCATCGAGTGAAGATGAGACCAGAGCTTTGGCCAAGGTGAGCCCTCAATGTGAACAAACAGAGCATGACGCTGCCGAGCACGCTGAAGCAGGAAAAGTGAAGCTTGAATGCTGGATGCCATAAACAGGTTCACAGCGAGTTGTCGACCGAGGCTTGCCGATCTCCAGGCTGATCATCAGGAAACGAGCAGCAACGAGGTCTTTGGAGAGGAGGGCTTCAGAATTGAACGTGTCGGGGTCAAAGAGTCCAAAGAGTCCAAAGAGTCCAAAGAGTCCAAAGAGTCCAAAGAGTCCAAAGAGTCAGAGTCAAACAAGCCGAAGGGTTCTGGTATGTTCTGGTTAAAAGTATGTGCCAGAATCGCGTTGCCCCGATTCCTGGAGCTCATCAGCTTCCTCCCTTAGCAGCCGCAGCCCCAGAGCTCGACGCCCGGGGGCAGCTCCGGGAATGCCCGGGAAGCCCGCGAAGCCTCGCGAACTCCACAAGTTCTGACGTGAAAAGGGGTAGGCTCAGTGTAGACCCGAGCACCCATTCTTCCATATTCTTCCCATGAACATATTTCATGCTTTGGGGAGAATGGTTTGCGATAAGCCGACAAGCCCTCGTTTTTGTTTAACTCCTCTATGCAAGGCAAAGTGCTTCTCACAACATCAGTCCATTTTGTCGCTTAAACTACCCAGGCACAAGACCAAGCAAAAAAGAAGAAGAAGAAGGAACAGCGCAGGAGTCGCGAGTGCGGAAAGCACCGAAGACGAAGGTGTGCATATTTGTTCCCCAACAAGCCTTGTACAGTCAAACCTTGCTGCCCCAAGCAGTTGATAAATGCGCAGAGCCAATCAGCAGCAAACAGTACCAAGAGCGCTTTCCGAAAGCCTGCCCCCATGAACAGTCCAGCTGCCTTGCCCTCTTGAGCAGAAGGCCAACAAAGTCAGTAGCAGTTGGTGCTTAGTTCCTGCAGGCGCGGAAGAGGTTTCAACCGATATTTTGAAGAACTCCCTTTTGAAACAGCCGTGAGCGTTGGCTGAGGCTATGAAAGTGATGGCATCGCCGCGATTGCAGTCCAGGGCTTGTGCCACGCAAGACATTCTGAAAATCCGGGAACGTAGGCGGCTGTCTATGACTCCTCGCACGTGCTGCTCTGAGATGGATGTTCACCTCAGCCAACCCAACAAGCTGAGTATATTTTCAGCTTGCGTTTGGCGGCCTCCTGACGCACATTGAGGTCTGCGCAGGTGCAGGTGAGCAGTCCTGTGCCATTCTCAAATCACTTGAGTGAAGTGCCGTGCACTGCATGTGTAGTGTGCTATGTTGCTTGCTTTGTTCTTTCAGGCATGCCTTGCTTTCTTGTGCCCATCCTTGCATCCTCAAGGCCAGCGAAACGTTTCCCAATGCAGCGCAGTCGGCCCAGTTGGATGGTTGAGTTGACTGCATTGAGCAGCAGATTAGCTTGGCCAGCGACTCCAGTGATGCTTGACTCAGGCTGAAGCATGAGCTCAGTTTGCAGCTCAATCACTCCTGCCTGGGCTTGGTTTTCGCCTTGATTTGAAGTCAGTTGGGCCTCATCAGACGTGACACTCCAATCCAGCTAGCATTCAGGGCATTGCATTTGCATTCGTAGTTCGGATCAGGTGTTGAGCTGAGAGCAGAGGCCGCACGCGCGCATGGCGCATCGTCTCTGGTTGCAAGTTCGCTCGCAGGTCGCTGCGGCTCCGCGCTTAGCCGTCCGTGGCGCCTTGCGCGTGGCGTCGTGGCGCCGCGCGCGCGCCGCTGAGCCGGAGGTTTGGGATGCGGTGGCCGAACTGGCGGAGATTGTGGGAGACGCGACGCCTGCAAGCGCCAGGCACCCCAAGGCAATGCACGGCACCGATGTTGCACCGATGTTGCACCGGTTCCCCGTGAAACTGGAGCAACGACTGCGGTGTTGACAACAGAGTCTTCTCGGGAAGCACTTGGCCGCTTAGCTGGGAATAAGCTGGGTTTGCCGAGGCTGTGAGGACTTCCGGACCAAGCCTTGGAGGCAGAGAAAAAGAAAAATTGAAAGTCGTAAGCAGAGAACTTCGAGTTGAGCTGCTGTCCAGGTGTCCAAAGCGTGGCCAACACTGCGCTGGTCACTGCTTTGCTCTTACGCGCGCCATGCCTCACGAGATCCGTGCCGCCACGAAGGCCGAACAGTGCCAGCGCTGCGGACTGAGGGTAAAAGAGGGAAAGGACAATGGATTCAGGGCTGGTCTGAGGCATAAGCTGTCATAAGCTACTTAACGAGGCTGTTTGCTTTTTTGCTTTTGCTTCTTGCGCTGTGCGCATTCCACAGTGTGTGCCTCTGGCGGAAGGGGCTTCACAGGAAAGCTGGGTTTTCCTGGAAGGAGAGCGAAGCAATGCGCTGAGGCTCAGTGGACTCCATGGGTGGAGAGCTTCGAGATTTGCAAGGCAGCCTGCAGGAGTGGCCCCCTCAGAGCTGGGAAGACCCAAGCGCCTAAGCGAGCGGGAAGCTGGACATAGCAAGCTTGCAAGGCTGGACTCGCGTGTGTATGGCCCGTGTCCCAGAATACCTTCCAATGTGCCACTTGGGAGTTTGGCTACATGTCTTTCCTTCAACGTCATGTCTTCGGCTTCTGCCAAGGTTGTGAGAGGAAGCTGAAAGATTCCCAGGACGGCAGTATACGGCAGTATTCTGACAATACTGTTCATGTTCCCTTCTGGCAAGGACGAATCTGAGCCGTTTGCCACCTTCGGCATGCGCAGCTTCAGATCAGCCCCCTGGATGCGATTCGAGTCACTCAAGTTCTTGGAGTCTTCACCCGCGTCGATTTCGTGTCTGCACGTGCGAGGCTGCGGCGGCTGTGCACAGCGCGCCTTGCCGAGAGGCTTCCAGCCCAGATACGGAGTCGATAGCGAAGTACGCCCTGGCGGCTGCATACTTCGTCCGATTCCAAGAGGATCATCCTCTTCGCCGGCTATGGGAGGAGTGTCGTCTTGAGGCGAAGAGCCACCCGGAACCGCCAGAGTCCTGGGAGTCTTCGGAGTCCTTGGAGTTGTTGGCCAAAGGCTTGGCAGCCGCTTTGGCTTCGGGCGAAGCAAACAAAATGGTGGAGGCTTTGATGGAGCAGTTGCCGGCTCCGCCTTTCGAGCTGGAGGCAGCTCGCCGAGAAGTGTTTGAGGGTGCCAAAGCTGCACTCGGCCCCCGGGAAATTCATAGATTGAAGTGAGCTCCGGGAGCCGTTAGATTCATAGATTGAAGCTCCCGGAGGGAGCAGCTGAAAACGAGGCTTCGGCAAGGGTGAGACGTTCGAAGGGCGGTGTGGGCTAGACGTTTCTGTCGCTGTGTAACTGTCGAACTAGATTGCATACCTAGCAGGAGTTAGAACCAACGAGCGACCAGGGCCTTTTGGCAAGCAACACCAACCACAGTTCTTGAGGATTGCCAAATGTGTGAGGAAGCATACGGTCAACTTGTGACGTCATATTGACTTTGCTGAAGTGAGTCAATGCCGTGGGGGACTGCTGTTGGGGGAAGTCGCATGGCCTTCATTTAGCTTGCGGGGCAGGTCTGAACACTTGTCCAATATGGCTGTTGCTGCCGCCCGGCTGCGTGACATACACTTAGTCACTTCATTTGGTTTGTCGGTCTCTCTCTCTCTCTCTGTTTCTCTCTCTCTCTCTCACTCCCTCTCTCTCTCTCTCTCTCTGTCTCGTTGTTTCTCTGTTTGTCTCTTTGTTTCTTGCTCTGTATTTCTCTCCCTCTCTCTCACGTCTGCCTCTCAGTCTTCACTCAGTCTTCATCACTGAACTCAAAGCTCGTGGTGGGGCTGAGGTCAAATGAACAAGCCGCCCATTCCGTGAAGTTTTGAGCACATCTTGGTTTCCGTGACTTCAAGCTTGTCATGCCACAAATAAAACACATCTGCGATGCACCAAGCCGTTGCACAATGCACTGCCAACGATACCCGCCTACACCGTCACACTTTGCAATCCACCCATGCCAACAACAAGTGCTTGCTTCACGTTGAGCGTTTATGACAAAGACTTTCTGCGAAACACATTCGGCAACATAAGCCATGGCCGTTGTCGGCGACCGGGTCCAGTTGAGGAATTTTCGCTTCAAGGCGGGCTTTCTTGTCCAGCTGACGGGCGCTGCCATGTTGGTTGAGGCGTGAGGCGGAAGGATGGGTCCGCTTCCTGGGCACAGTGGGTGACGATGGCCCGGCCCTTGGGCAGTTGGCCGGAGCAATTTGGAGCCTTTGCGGAGTCCAGGAACTCTTGCCGGAGTGGAGCTGGACCTAGCGGCCGCTGAGCATAAACTGCATAAATGGTTTGGAAGGGTTCTTGATGGGTCCACAAACTCTTCTCGCGAGGTCGGCAAGAATTATGGCTCAAAGAACGGCATCAGCTACTTCGGCCCCCGCGAGCCGACTTGGCATCGAATGCAAATCATCCGTTTGCAGACTTACATGGTACCAATCAGCTATCAAGGATTTTGCGTCCTGCCTGCGTTTTTTTGGTTCAGACTTTGATGAAGCTGTGATGGTGCTGTTGTGACTGGTTGGCAAACGGTTGCGGGATGAGGAATGAAGGTGCTGATGGAAACTGCACGTGCGCCGGCGTGTGCACTGGCGCGTATTTTGCACGTGCGTGCGTGATCACCGTGCGAAGCTTCCAACACCTTGGCCTGCTGCAAACAAAGACCGCTTCGCCTAAGACCCTTTGCCAATTTGAGCATTCCGGAAGATGGCCCGTGCTTTGCTTGCCTGTCACGCTGTTTTGCTTGCTGCCTTGGCCAGTGTCAAGGTGTGGTCCACGTGCTTTTCTTGCCGCCTTGGTTCCAATGCTAGCTGTGACATGCTATGACAGATGCCAGAGGCCCTTTGAGGGTTGTGTTTAATGATGGGTTTTGTGCTCGGGAGGCTCCACTGGCCCAACGTTGCTTTAGAGTCCGTTTCTTGCAGCTCCAGCAAGAGATGCACGAGATGTTGTGGATGGTGGCATTGCGATTGAGCGAGTTACTCTTTGCTGGGACCACCAAATACCACCAAATGGAAATCCGAAGTGCCTCAATCACTCAAGTTCAGCAATGTGAACCCCTACAACATTAACGCCGTTATAACCCAATACTTACTCCAAAACTGATCGTGAGAATGTTTTTGGGATGCTCATACTTGGAATGGGCCCTTGAGAGGGAGCTCTGACGGCAAGAATCTGCACGGGTGCCAGGTCATGGTATTTTCGTCCGCCCAGACTGGCCGGTGAAGATCAAGGATGAGCCTGGCAAGCCCGAGCGTCAGGAGCGGCAGGGTAGAAGAGCTGGAAGACCCAAACAATGCGACCTCAGGAGACCAGGGAGCTCGAAGAGCCAGAGAGCCTTGGCCAAGAAAGTGAAGCTGTAGCTGCACCTGTGACATCTCAAGTGCCACATGTTCTTGGGGCTAGGCAAGTTCACAATGCCACAGGACGAAGCCGGAGCCAGAAATCAAAAAGTCAGGTCGCACGTTAGGGGACTGTCTCAATGGAGTGGTTCAAGCAGCAAGGGTGCCAGGGTGGATGGGAAAGTGTCAACGCTTGCCGCAGAGGCCCAACGGCAGCTGGCAGGGCTCGGCATGCAGGAGACTCTGAGCCAGGCGAGGTTGCAACAAGGAGACCCCTTCACCCCCGAAATTGATCGAGATTGCATGGTGTGCACGTTGGAGGTTCAAAGGCGTCTTGAAACCGTCGAAGGGCGCCACAAGGAGTTGCAGAAAGTTGACGCAATGAAGCAATCAAAGCAAATGTTGCCGGCAGAACGAGCTGCAAAAGCTGCAGAGCATGTCGCACTTTGAAAAGAAATCAAACGAAAGCGCTGCAGTTGACCAGCGCATTGAAAATGGCTCACAGGGCGGGATGGCAGCTGCAAGGAAAGACCTGCAGAGAATGCAACAGCGAGTGCTGGATTTGGAGGCTGTCAAGGTGGCTGCTTCTGGCTCGCAGATGGACATCCAGAAGCTTCAGCAGAGCATGGCAGAGCTGGAGAAGGCACATGCCATCACCAAAGATGCAGCAGCGCGCCTTGAGGATGTCGAGCGGCAGCTGCGGCAAAGCACAGCAGCTATAGAGATCTGTGAAAGTGGCACGGAAAGCGCGCATTCTGCTGACAGGCCCCAACTTGATGCGGGTGAGCTTTCGGATC